GCTACAAGGTTTTAATTTTTATGCCATAGGTCTCTTCTCACAGCTTTGTTGTTGCACTTCCGTATCCTGGGATTACAGTGTTGACAAGATATAATGGTGCTTCAGCAAGAGCTCGGGTTCTGAATGACTTGTAGTACAGGAGGCTTTTTTTTTTGTAATGGGAGCTCCCCTGTAAGTAGGGAGACATTAGTTCTGTCTTCCTCTGACACCACCTGTAATTTTACATCGTGGATACAGCTATTATTCTGGAATTCGATATGCTTTATAGGTGGAGCCCAAACAAACATCCTGCAAATCAACACAGATGTTGTTCTCTAGATGAAGAATGAAATCCCCCAGAACAGTAACAATTCAAGTCCATCACTAGATGAGATGAGAACAATATAGACAATTAAAAAAATGTTTGTTCACAAAACACTATACCCACTTGTTAACATTTTTTGGGATATTCAGTATTGAAGAACATGGGGGCTGCTCTTGGCTCAGATTGGACCAAAGGGGAAGAGAAATTCCTCTCTTAAATTTTGGGACTTGAGGCAGACTAGAGCAGTTAGTAAACATGTTGTGGTAACACTCTTGCATTGTCTTCCAGTGCTTACTCAAGCAGGTCTTTAGTGATAGCCTTGTAATAGACACTCAGATAGTTACGTAATTATTTCCTATATGGTGTTCGATAGAAAGGATGCTTCAAAATTGCATTTGCAGTCTCAGCAAGGGGCTGGTGTGAGATAGCCAGTAGAACATGTCAAAAATAGAAGTTCTATTCACTTGTAGTCCTTTGTTGTTATACTGGCAGCACAGAGGGATGCATTTACTGCGCTAGACTCGCATCATATTGTCTGAAAACAAGGGTCAGGGTTCAGTGATCAGGTGTCATTCTTTCCTTATTAAATGCTGGAGGTAGCATACAAGTGAATTGTGGGAGCAGGAACTGAAACTTGGTTGAGCACCCAGGTTATAGAAAAAAGCCATGCTACTTCTAGTCAGTCATTTATTCTTTCTCCACTCTGGCTTGGATTCAACTGGAATGATGTTGAATTGGCTTGTATCCCACCCACCCAGCTGGCTGGTGTATGCTGAACTCACTCCTTGTGTACACAACTACTTTCTTAGGTCCTCAGTCAAATCTGTCCTGCTAATGCCTGGGTTTTGGGTTTTTAAACATATTTTTGCACATTTAAATATTTTAATTTCTTTCTAAAGCATTTTATTAGTGTCTACATTCAATTTAAAATCAGAAATTACTAAGTTGCTATGTTCACTTATGCTGTAGTCTGTGAGCAAACAATGTTAAATGTAGTGGTCTTCCAGCCAGCAAATACTTTTCTGTTACATAAAAAAACTGGGATAGAGGAAGAGGAATCAGTGGGATGTTACATTGTTTACATTAATCAATTTAAGCATCCTATTAATATTGGGAGAAAATTCTGAAAATGCTGAATAAAATAGGCCATAGACTCAACTTGTATTTGTTGAGGATTTCAGTAATGGCTACTTTTTTTGTCATGTCAGTTGATTACATCATTCATTTAATCTGTGTTCAATTTAATGAGCTTTATTTTTTTTTTAATCAAAATACCAAGTGACAGTCGTAATATATGCTCATAATCCCTGTAGGCCAACTTAAGGTTGGGCTGTTTCCAAGAGTGGTTTTGCTTGTGCCAGAATTTTCACAGCCTTCTGTTAGCAGGGAGCCAGCTGATCCTGTTGGAGACCAGGCTGGTGGGGAGAACATACAGCGAGAAGCTGGTGGAAGGGCTAGTTCCAAGTTGCAGCTGATTTGTGGCTTGAAGTGACTCTTTCACAAGCCCCTAGTAACACTGTATGTGCATGACACCTGTACAAGCTATTGAACCTCCCATTTGCTCAAAGAACTTAGGTCCCTTGTTTTTTTTCAAGGTCTGTTTCTCACAAAATGATAGAGTTGCATCAGTTACCTTGGTCACATACCAACTTTTTAGTAATCTTGCCAGCAATTCATCCGGCTGTTGAGTCTGTAGTTACTTGTGTCTGGGGACTCTGGAATAATCTTAAATCTCTTCTAGTCCTCTGGATTTTCCCTGGTCTTTCAAGAGTTACTGAAAAATTTAATTTCAGAAGTCCGGAGGGAATTTCGGGTATTTTTAAAAGAATGTTACAAGAATGTTAAAAGAATGGTACAAGAAGGTACCTGGACTCGTTAGTCTTAAAATGTTAGTAGATTATACAATCTTTTGATCACCAGGTTCCTGTCAGTGATCACTATATCCTTATTAATCCCCATATCATATAGGGATTATTATTGGTACATTTACTATAGTGTCAAGATCTGATAATCAGATGCATGGAGATTCTTTGCAATCCTGCCAGGGCAAAACAAAGGTAATACAGTATTGGGTGCACAAATAGGCTTCTATTTAGGTACAGATTAGCTGGTAAGAGTTATAACTATGTATTTGTCATAAGCTTATAACAGATGTGATAACTAACTCTAAAATACAAAAGAGAAGGATCAGGAAAGGAAATAAAGAGTTAAAGGAAAGTCACCACCCAGAGCTCCAGTGGAGTCCTATTGGTCTCATAGTAGAAGGAGGGTGGTGGTCCCATCCTAGGAGGCATCTAGAGAATGATGGTCTTCTCCTTTATTCAGTTAATTCCTGGAATATGCCACAGTGGTTACCCAATCACTGTTCCACATTTGTAGTGAATTTTTTTATCACTTTCTTTGAATAGACTTCAAGTCTTTTTTGCCAAGTTGATGATTTACATGAAAACACTCCCTGAGCCGCTGGGTTAATTCAAAGCCTGGTTATCGCTGGATGTCCTTGCTCAGTGCTGGCTGTGGCACCAATTGTGTGCTTTTTTGTCTACAATCTCAGCACATCCCACACGGAGCTCCCCAGTTTGCAGTTGCCTGTATCATTTGACACATTGTTGACACATCGTGGGGGCTTGCTGAGTAAAATGGTTTGGTGGGTCCGTGAGACATCTCTTTAGTACAGCAATAAATTGTGCTTAACTCTTAGATGTCTCAAGACAAACACCAAACAAGTGTCTGAATACACTGTTTATCTCTTGGGTTGGTAGAGACAAGCACCATATATCCTGAGGCAAGCACTTAACATGTCCTTCCCTCTGCTCTGACAGCACAGTATGCTCTGCAGGTGTTAGAGGATTTGCAGTCCTTGCTCTTATCAGCAACTTTAAACAATAATTTCTTTACTACAGAGTAGCACCAGCCACCAGCTTTATCCTTCCTAAACACCTTTAGAGACTTGAATATCTGAATCATGCAGACTGTTCCTGTTATTTCTTTCATGTTATTGATAAAATCTCTTTAGCCAGGCACCAGTCATCAAGATACCAACAATCCTATATTAATACTCATGATGTTCTTAGTCACATTGGGTTTATTTGTTTGTGCCATGCTGAACATCATTTGACATGGTGCTTGCTTCCTTTGACCTCCTTGTTTACCATCCTCCCAGCTTGTGCTCTACCTATGAAACTGCCTTTATGTCAGCCGGAGAGTTTTTGCACCTTTACTCTTAAGATTCTCTTGTCTATCTCACTGAAGGGGGGGAGTGAGCAAGTGGCTGTGTGGTGCTCAGCTGCCTACTGGAGTTAAACCATGACAGTCCTTTTTGTTGCCCAACATAGAGTTCAAAGAGTTTGAGGTAAGGACATGTTTGATTGAAGTCTGAAAGACCAAATTTATTGCTTTTGCAGCAACCTCTCAGCAAGGTTTGCCATGGGGCTTGTTTGCCTTACTGCATGTTAAAGAGTATACTGCTTGTTCGTGGCTACTTTTTGCTTTTCCTGTTTGCTGTACTCCTTGTCTTCCATAACTGATCAGAGCCATGCTTTACACCAGTCCACTCCTGTATTCTTACTGAGGGCTTCAAAGAAGAAAACCAAAAGTGGAGTGGGTAGTGTATCACAGGCTTGCTCATTTAAGTACATAGCTGAAGACAAAATCAGAGAAGTTTGGACTTTCTCTACCTTATGGTCTTAGCACTGACTGTGGCAATTGATTTGTTTCTTGTACATACTTGTTCTGTTGTTGGAGCAGAAAATCTTATTCATTAAACAAGTAGTAACCTGATTGAGGCAAACAAAAGCTCTATTCAGTTAAGGATTACTGAACTTGATCACAATGTTTAAATCTCTGGCTAATGCTCTTTAAATCAGCCAGCAATGCTCGAGTGCTTTTGCATTCCAGAGAAACCACTACCTGCTGTCAGACAGGCAGGCTCAGCTGTAGGAACAGACTAACTAGGGAGCAAACATGGCAAACATGTCACTAGGGCCGTGGAGCCCACTTGGCCTTTGCCATGGCTGGAAAATCTGAAAGAAGGGTGTGTTGGCATGGTTGTGTGGATGAGGGGTGAAGAGCTGCTTTTCCTAGTGTTACCAGCACTTCCAAATGCTATCTCAGGCATCTCCAGGCTTTGGGAAGGGGCCACAGCTGCCCAGGTTTTGCTTGTGGTTCTTCAGCTTCTCCCTCTGTTTTTTGTTCCCCTTGCCACCAGCTGCTGACAAACTGGGAGAGGCCAGAAGGCCAGGCCGGATTCCCTGCAGAGGACTGGGAGAACCCAGCCATTGGTAGCAGTCTTCTTGGCTAGTGCTGCTGAAAATATTGCCACATACCCTCTTCCGACATTCTAATAAGTAAGCCATACTTGTACAGAGAAATAATCTGATCAGCCATGTTGCAAGGATCCTGAGGATTCCTTGGACTCCAACCCTTGTTCTTTTAGCACCTGTTATCTGGATATATAAAAGTGATGCATAAAAACATAAGATAACCTCATCACTCTTTACAAGCAGCACTGGATGGAAAGCGCCAGCAGTTATCTTAGCATGACAGAGAGACAAAAGGTTTGACTCTGTGCTACACAAAACAGGCATCAGGTTTATGTACAGAAAACCTTTTTCCTAAATTGAGAAACTTTCATGATTAGAGAAATTAGATCTTTTTTTTTTCTTTCTTTTTCTTTTTTTCCCTGGTCCATGCAGGACGTGATAGGCAGAAGAGAATCCTGTGCTTCAGGACAGATACCGATGACCATCCTAAGCTGCTTTGCCTACTTACTGGAAGAACAGACTGTTGTGGAATACCTGAAGAAATACCTTTTTCATGTGATCATTGTCTTGCTGACAATTGCTGCAATATTAGTTTTTTTTATAGTTCCTTTAACAATCCTCTTTTTCCTTTACCTTGCTAATATTTTTCTTTTAATATACCAGAGGAACAGTCAGGTAAAAGCAGATCCCTTGAATGAAGTCTGGGATCGTGCAAGGAAAAGTATAGCAAGCTTTTGGGATATATATGCAAGAATCTGGCATGGTAAGTATGACACAGCTGGTCAAAAGGTTTGAATTACGATAAATAGTAAATACACATGAGTTTTAATTTACTGTTTTATTTCTTCCAAATGGATGCAAAGAAATTACATTTATTATACTTTGTATGGCATGTAACCCAAAAGTATTTGCCTAAAAGACTGATTGCAACATAGAATAAGAAGGATGAGAGGGAGAAATTAGTTTACACAAGGTAAATTTGTCTTAAGTAGCTAGGCAGGTGCACTTCTCTGTATAAGGTATGAGAGTGCAGTGTGGTGTCAATGTTAGTTTTAGGAATGTAATTGTGAGATAGATGTGTGACTTAGTTTTTACCTTAGTAGCTGCTTAAACCCCACTTGATGAATGGGCAAAACACAACAACTACTTGGAAATATAATTAGTGTCTTTTTAGTTGGCAAAAACTACTTTGTGTTACAATTGAAAATAGTTTTAAGAACTGTATGGACAGATGAATAATTAGATATCACATTTAAGTTTGTACTGTGGCAGAATTTAAAAGTAACCTGATTTTTCAGTTTCATTACACTCAACCTTCAGATACTTTCAACACACTGTGCTCCCTAAGAAGATCCTCAGCTGAGCCCTAGGGTTTTGTTCTTCCCACAGATGTACTTGAGGCTCAACATTGCTTAACTTAAAGCAAGACTTAACTTTGCTGCCCTAAAGATGAAGAATAACAGGCTGTTATCTATGTTGCTATCCTTCCTCACAACTTTTTCATCTTTTAACATCCTGTAGTACAAAACTTTCTCCACTTCTAGGTAGGACTCTGCATGTTCTTTTCCCATCCTTCTCCCAGAATAGCTTATGATAGGAGCTGTAGTAGGGATGGAGATGAAGGCAGACAAAGTGGAAGAGAGCTCTTAGTTGGCAGATGCTGTGGTTTTCCCAGGCCTTTGTATACATTAGTCTCTGAGTCTGGCTTCACCTAAAACTTAAATGAAACATAGGAAGAGTCAGGAGAGGGATTTACTGAAGTCCATGTCTGTGAGGAAATTCCCTTCCATTGTGAAGTGAATACAGAATCACAGAATCATTCTGGTTGGAAAAAACCTTTAAGATCATCAAGTCCAACAATAACCTATCTCTGCCAAGTCCAGTGCTTAAACCATGTCCCTAAGCACCACATCTACATGGCTCTTAAACACCTTTGGGAATGGTGATTCAACCACCTCCCTAGGCAGCCTATTCTAACATTTTATTACCCTTTCAGTGAAGAAGCTTCTTCTAATAGCTAACCTAAACCTTCCTTCGCACAACTTGAGCCCATTTTTTCTTGTCCTATTGCTTGGGTAGGGATAGGTTACTTGGGAGAAGAGACCAACCTCCCCCTCACTACGACCTCTTCTCAGGTAGTTGTAGAGTGATAAGGTCTCCCCTCAGCCTCCTTTTCTGCAGACTGAACAACCTCGGTTCCCTCAGCCACTCCCCATAAGACTTTTTCTCCAGGCCCATCATCAGCTTCGTTGCCCTTCTCTGGACACGCTCCAGCACCTCAATGTCCTTCTTGTAGTGAGGGGCCCAGAACTGAACACAGTACTTGAGGTGCAGCCTCATCTGGGCTGAGTCTGGGGGGAGGATCACTTCCTGCTGCCCACACTATTCCTGATACAAGCCAGGATGGTGTTGTCTCATATTCAGCCACTTGTCAATCAACATCCCCAGACCCTATTCTGCCAAGCAGCCTTCCAGCCATTCTTCCCCAAGCCTGTAACTCTTGTGGAAAGAATGTCTCTTTGGGATTCTTACAGATTCTGGTTTGGACTTAAACATCTCAACCAGAGAAACTTTTTATTTTGTCAAATTCCAAACTTTTCATTCTGTCTGACAAAAATGGAGATTCACATTTCCACCACACTTCAGGAAAGTATCCTGGCTGCTCATCTGCATCTCATTCTGCCAATGAAGTGTTTTCACATTAGCATAGGGTTTTTGTTTGTTTTGTTTGTTTGGGGTTTTTTTTAAGTATTGTACTTTGGACTGGGAAAAGTTGCTAATGGGAAATAATTAATTTAGTTCCCTCATAGGGGAAAATGTAAGTTTCAGGTCTGATCTAGTGATTAAACTGACCAACAAATTAGTCCACCAATCACCTGTGGTTTTTGAGGGGCTTTCTCTTTGTTATCAACCAAAAGTTCTTAAATCTTTCAAAATCTGTGTCACAGGCTTTCACAACTCTCTGAAAGTAATTTAACAAAGGACAGAAAAGAGTTTTCTTTAAATTGCCAGGTGATTTGCAGCTATCATTGCCAGTGTATTCCTTTCCATCCCAAACAGGTTATGAGCTTCATGGTGTGGAAAACCTACCAGAAGGTCCAGGCATCCTTGTGTATTACCATGGAGCGATTCCTATAGACTACCTTTACTTTTTGTCTAGGCTGTTTCTCTGGAAAAAAAGACTCTGTTTGTCAGTAGCTGATCATTTTGTCTTTCGCTTACCAGGTAAGAACATGTTCTCTTGTATTTAAGCATCCTGGATTAACCCAACCTATTGCTGGTTTTGGTGAAGTTTACATTTATTACACTATCAAGACAGATTTTATACTGAAATACTGCGTTTAGACATTTAAGCTAAAAGTTGGTAGATGCAGAAGGGCAAACAGGGTAGAAGATCCTGTCTTTTAAGTGAAAAGTCGTAAAAATACTATTAGACCCTCCAAAGCCAACATCCCTTTGAGATGAAATGTTATGTCTCAGTAGAAGTTGTAAGACAGGACTATATTAATGACCTAATGCTGGCTGGTCATCAATAGGCTGTGAGTGCAGAAGAGTCCACTAAGTGGTAGGATATCAATTACCTACATGTCCTCTACACTGAGTAGACATTACAATAGGGAATGGCATCAAATCTATCTTTTCATCAAAGCCTTGATTAGAGTACAAAACTTTGAAGATTTTACTGTTGAAGAGACCTCTGTTACACCCACCACCACAATACCTTCAACACATTGTAGGCTGAGGAAGAAATAATTCCATTGTGAAAAGGAGAATATACAGGAAAGCAAACCTCATTTGCTTTCAGAAAAACAAGGCATAAAGAAGAAGCATGCAGAAGGAATAGCAGGGAGATTATTTAAAGACGCCTTTATACCACTTACATTAAAAATTACTATACAAATAAAGAGTAAAAGAAGCTATTTAAAAGTAGAAGGACATTCTTCAGAAAAGGAAGTCATGTCCAGACACTGAAAACAAAGAGCATAAAGTCAAGCAAGTTTGAGGCAAGAACATATTAAGGCACTGCTAGAAAGATGATGAGGAAGAATTTGCTAAAGCATACTTCGTAGTACTAAAAACATCAAGGCATAGGTAAAGGTCATCAAGAGATTATTGTCTTTTAAGAGGACCCCTAAATCAAGATAAAGGTTAGCAGAATTTTGCAAAGGAGACTTCTTTTTTAGGTGAAAAATGAGAGGTTATTGTTTCAAATCGAAGCCTCTGTAGCACAGATTTTTATTACAAATGTATAGTAAACTACTGTCACACTAAGCAACAGTCTCAGCTGTGTGCTTTCCGGACTACTGATGTGTATATAACATATTGCTTGAATTATGTTCATGCTAGAGGAACAGAAGGTGGCAAATATGGTGTCAACATATAAAAAGGCTACCGAGAACACAACTGGTAGAAAAGACCACAAACAATGGAGATTATGCCTCTACATTTGCTGCATTAGTAGGAAATGTGACTAAAAGTAATAGACTTACTGAAACTTCTCCCTAACCCTCTCTTGCTCTACCATACTTGGTTTTTGCAGAGAAATGTTACACTTCACAGCTGCTTCTTTGAAGAATGCTCGTGAGCATAGGCTGAACCTCAGTCTGTTGGATTAATTACAGGCATGGGAGAGGTCTTTTTGTGCATTAATAACTGGTTAAAAGCTAGGTAATAAAGGGTAGGAATAAATAGCTCGTTTTCAGAAAGAAGCCGAATTCAACAGGTATAACGATGAAGATCAGTGCTGACACCTAAATGATTCAAAATAATCTTAATGTAGATCAGTGAGGTGACAGCTTAATACTGGCCATTTTTTTTTTCAAGGCAATAAAAGCCCACACAGAGAGCATGATTAACTACAAATTCTAAATCACAAAGGGATTAAACAAAATCAACATCTGTCTTTGACAGAAAGATTTATCAAACATAATGCCTTGAATAAGATTAAATACAATTGAATTACAGGATGTGGCACTGTGCATTCCATTGTCTTCTAATGTTTCTGCTGCAGACCTTTGTTAAAGTTGTGGTCCCAGACACCAGTTCTGGCAGTCCATTTATTAATGTAAACAATTTATTTTCAAGCCATGATGTTAGAACAGTGAATTTGGAGACTGGGGAAGCTCTCCTTGGCTGAAGCTCTCCATGGGGTTTCCAAACAGGTAGATTTAAAATGTGGAGGTAATACAAGAAAGCATAGAGTGCTTCTATGGGTCTCAGTCTTTCTTTTGGAGAAATCCTAGTTGTGGAAATGAGTTTCACCAAACTGTTCACACAGTGTTGAAACTGCCCTGCTAACTTCTGCCATTCGTGCATCTTAAAAGCTGTAGAGCAGTTCAATTTCATCTATGTAGTTTAAAATTTAACCAAAAAATACTCATTTTAACGACTCAGAACCTCAGCGTTTAAAATGTTAAACATCATATTTTAAAAGAGCACTAAAAGTAGTCACTTGTCAGGTATTTATTTTTGTAGTAATGTTTATTGTATTGAAAGTTTATATTCTTTTCTGTATTAAAATATATTAAAAGAAGGAGGGAGGAATAGATGCTTATTTTGAGATTTCTAGCTATGATGCTTAAGTTTTGATTGCATGGCTGATGTTTGAATAATTATGGAAAATGGCATGTTGAGGCATTAATTTACTGAGCTGCTCCTGATAAGCTGCTTTATTTTTTTGGAAAAAAAAACCTGTCGTGTTTGTAATTTTTTCATTATATACTCCATAGATGTTTTACTTCCTTTGTACAAATTTGCCTTAGTCTAAATATATTGCTATTAAATTTTCATTTAGCTGTAATCTTGTTCCCACACACAAGCAATATTTGTGATATATTGTTATAACAATATGTATTTGCTACTTATTGATTGCAGGACTTCAATTATTACTGGAAGTGTCGGGTGTTATGCCAGGTACAAGGGAAGAGTGTCTCATGGCACTGAAGAATGGACACCTGGTGTCCATCTCACCAGGTGGAGTAAGAGAAGCACTATTCAGTGACGAAAGTTATCAGCTAATGTGGGGGAATCGAAAAGGCTTTGCACAGCTTGCTCTAGAGGCAAAAGTAGTGAGTATTACATGTTACCAAAACTAGTTTATGCTTATTGCATACATGCTTAATTATAAAAAGCAGTTTAGGAGTATTTGTTGGGATATCTCCCAGAGAGAAGAAAAGATTTCGGAGTACAGTTTTCTTTTTCTTTTCCCACCACTTTCTTCAAGCAAATTAATCTACAGGGAGCAAGGGGTTTTTTTGGAACTGTATAGCTTTCTCCTGACTGTTGCAAGGCATCTACCTCTGCATTTCCATGTCTACAGTTCTATCATGCAGGCATCCAGTTTCTTCTTTTGACTGTATTTCCTTCACTGTCATCCTTCTTCATGTTCCCATAAGGATTCATTCATTTTTCTTATCCTACTGGACTTCTATATCTTGCTTTTTTATACCCAGACATTTTCTTATGGCTCTTGAATGCATTATCCTTATCTTTCATTGTTCTAATTTATTATGGGAGGGTCCAGGATTTTGCTCTTATCTGTTATTTTCTTCATGTTTTTGAAAGACTGCAACTAACACAAGGTGTGCCTATATAAGTGTCTGAGGTTGAATCATGTGTGCACTTCTGAAGCAGTTTTTCCATCTCGCTCACTTATCATGCTTTTGTTCACATCATGGAAAATGTTAGAATACCTGAGCTTCATTCCTTTTGGCTGAAATGAAACCAAAAGTGGGACCTAATACTCCCAATTGCAAATGGGCATTCAGTCAATTGGTACCAAGCAAGAATTAGTTACACATCAAAACGGAGCACTGAAATGTGCTGATGTCAGATCCTCAGCATCCTCTAGAATTGTGCTTCTATTTGTTTTCACCCCACTAATGTACACATGACCAGTTTCAGTTACATTTTCTGTATGAATGATGATCTGCAAATACAAACTTCTACTGCTCGTTCTGACTTCTTCCATCTGATTTCACATTTCACATGGTGAGACTGTTTCTCTGACACATTTCATTTGGGATGGCATAGAGCTGAAAGGGCAGCAATCGTCTCTTTTTCCTAACTGCCATTTCTCATCATCATCACCTCTAGAGAGGAGTTTTCTGTCTTAATTTAGACTTGGCATACCTAGTGCTCTTTGTGTCTGACAATACTGGTACACCTCCAGGCTTCAGCTGTTTTGCCATGAACTTTCTGCTGCTTTCTTATTAATTCATACCATCATTGTTCATTACATTCTTATGTATAGCTCATCAATTGCAGTGCTCTTCATTGGCCTTCCACATAAACACATATTTTCTGTCTACATAGGATATCCTGTACAGGGAATTGAGTTCTTCCCATGGAAACTGAATTTCTTACCACCCCTTTCAGATTTCTTGAGCAATTATCTCACTTTCTTGCCCCATCCAATTTGTTGCTTCTCAAACTTTGCTTTGGTTTCTTGTGCTGTAGAATCATAGAATGGTTTGGGTTGGAAGAGACCTTAAAAATCATCTAGTTCCAACTCCCCTGTATGGGTAGGCAGACCTTCCACTAGACCAAATACCTCAGAGCCCCATCCTGCCTGGTTTGAACACTTCCAGGGATGAGGCATCCACAATAAAAAGTACCTAGAGATACAAAATGCAGCTTCAGATTAACATTTCTTAATAACCTTATCCATCTCTGAAACCTTGTCCAGTCGGTTGAGGGAGGTTCTCCTCCCCCTCTGCTCTGCCCACTGGAACAAGCTGCCCAGAGACATTGTGGAGTCTCCTTCTCTAGAGACTTTCAAGACCCATCTGGGTGCATTTCTGAGTGACCTGCCCTTGATCCTGTGGTGGTCCTGCTCTAGCAGGGGGGTTGGACTTGATGTTGTCCAGAGGTCCCTTCCAAACCCTAACATTCTGTGATTCTGTAAAGTAGAACAAATTTAGGGGAACTTGTCCAATAGATAAAGCAATTTCAGGCTGGGAGTCTTATTTCTGCTTCTTTGTCTTCTTATGTGGCCTTTTAAAAGTCATGTTTTACATTCTGTTCCCCTCTCCTGCCCTTGTGTAGCCATTAACCAAAGAACCACACACACTTTACAGTATTCAAAATGACCACATGGTGATTTGTAAACAACCACAGATTACTTGAATAGGGATTTCAAGACAAAAACAATTATATATATGAATAGACATTCTCATTCTTACAATGTTATGGAAGTTCAATGGATCTTCCACTGATAAAGCTGAAGAAAAGCGAACTAGGAACATCGTTTCAGTCTCAGTCCTTGCCTACAGGTTTCCATATTCAGTTCCCACTTCATCTTGTATAACTATTCTGTTTACTTGTGGTCAGAGAAGGAGAGTGTTACTATTTAATGTTAAGACTCAATGAACTTCTGGGATATGTATTTGTCTCAGTCAAATTTATCTATGCCAGGGACATGAGCTTAGGAAACACCCTCTGCCTATGGCTGAAGTTTTGCCAGCCTAATGGGGAGAAATCATCACTTTTGACAATCCCTGCATTATATCTGTACCAAATCATGGTTCAGCTGTAGTTAGGTAAAAGATAAACAGGGACTACAGTTTATAAAAGTCTTTTGCATGTGGAAGGGATTTGAACTAGATGATATCCAGAAGTCCCTTCCAGCCTTAACTATCCTGTGACTCTGTGATTTTTCAAGCTGGCCAGGGGTGATCCAGCTCAGTAAATCTAAATCTGTGGGTTGCTGCACATCCGATTGTGCTGCTTTACAGATGCAACGTTTTGTGTGTGTGTACCTGTTTTTATCAGCTTGGGGACTGACACCCACTCTGCACTGCATTGGCTGATATGCTGATATGCAAATAACTTCTGTAGTTGCTAGATTTCTTTACAGCCTAAGATTTGTTTCTCTTGCACTATTCCTAAAATTTAAAGAGTTTTGTCTGCATGATAGGTGGGTTTCAAACATTTTAAATGTTATACTTACAATATTCAAACAATAGCTGAAGCTACGTGTAGTATTTTTAGTGTTCAGTACTTGTATGCTTTTAAAAGAAAGCTGATTATTTTTTAAGGATTTCATTCTGAAAGGTTTACTATTACAACTTCATGAGTGCTCGATATTTTTCTTACTTGTCAGGCCTTTTTTCCTTTAAAAGGTTTCCATCACTTTGAATTCTTTACTGGGATCTAGTTAGGTCTTTTTCCTGGTTGATTTTTCTCTTGCCCTGCAGTCTCTGTTCTGTGGGAGTGATTCTTTACAGCAAAAAGGTCTTCTTTCATTACCTGCTGGACAAGTAATTCCAACAACATGCTCAAAATACGGTTTCAAAAAAAATAAAAAGGGATAATAGAGGGGAAAAAAGCAATTGTATCTGTGGATGCAATCACTGTTAGTTTATCTACAAATGATGAAATCTTAACTCAGGCTGTAAGACATGACTGTTTAAAGTTCAGGTATCTCAACTGTCTTTCTTTTTAATCACAAAATGGAAGTGAATTTGTTCTGTAACTGCTGAAGGATCTGCCCTTCAGAAGGCATGTAGTCCAGCTTAATGAGGACACAGAACTGTCCTATTTGTCCAAGGGATCTACAGAAGCTTTTTTTCCAGTGGGGAATTATCCAAACATTGCTGCTTCTGGGAGACCTTACTTTGTGAAGCAGATGAGATGAGACAAACTTGAATGTCCAGTTGCTTTCTGCAAGACTTCATGAACTGGATACTTCCCTATTCACCACACAGGTTGTGAGCTTTAGAAAGAGAAACTCCAAGACTTCCTTTTATGGTTCAGTCAACAATACTGCAATTAACACGTAACATACAAGTTATTTTTTTAGAATCTCAGTTATGTTTTATAATGTCCAGTCAGAATGAAAGGTATAAACCTCTAATACAATGTCAGTCATTTTCCTTACAAATGGTGACTTTAAAACAGCAATGTTTGTGGGAGCTGAAAAATAGAATTTAATTTCTATCCTGGAGTTCACAAGATTTTTTGTTTGCTGCTTACCTAACTGATAATTATCCTTTGTATCCAACTGAGTTTTTTAGCTGAATTAAAATGCACTAAAATATAAATTCAAATCTGGTATAACATTTTCCACTTTATTATTTTTTCTGATTCCTTAGCCCATCATTCCAATGTATACTCAAAATATCCGAGAAGGATATAGGATGTTTAAAGAAAGAAGTAAGAATTTCAGAATTTAAGTATTTGGAATGTTTTCTCCACTCTTCTTTTAGATTTCTCTCATTTTTCTCTTAGATTTTGCTTTTCACACTTTGCTTTACTTTGTATTCTCTTAACATGCTTGCTGTGGGTCAGAAGTATCACCAATATGGAAATAGCTTGTGCATAACTGGTTTGTGCTGTGTGATTTTGTTCTTTCATGCAGCCTTATTTCAGCAATCTATCAAGTCTATCAGGCTTTGTTTTGATGGTGTTTCCTAAATGCTGTGATTTCTTCCTGTCAGAGAAAGCATGCATTTTCAAGAAGTCTTCCATATTAATCAATTTTCAAGTTTGGATTGTGTTTTCTGTGGCTATAACCTCACTTTTTCCTCCTTAAACTATTTCAGAACTCTTTAGACAGCTGTATGAAAGCACTCGATTGCCGTTTACTCCTCCGTACGGAGGACTCCCAGTTAAATTCCGCACGTACATTGGGGAGCCAATCCCTTACGATCCAAATGTAACTACAGAGGAGTTAGCTGAAAAGGTAAGTTAGCTCTCCTGGCAATATTGAACTGCACACTTGGTGCTCTGTTGTATATGGACTTGAAACTCGTTTTTTGTATGGTTGAATAAAGATAAAATAGAGTTTACTGGCCTGTTAAAGCAATGGGCACTTCAGGTCCAGCATTTAACATACGGGTACCTACAAGTAAGTATTGATTTAGTTGTAGTTGACTGGGATGCTCTCGTCCTTTCAGAATGTGTGAGTTCTGTCTTCTTGGGATGCTAATGTTGTTTCTCCCATGCCTTTGATAACTTTGATAAGTGAAATGATGTAAACTATTGTCATGGTTTGACCCCAGATTGGCAATTAACCCAGTGACAATAATGCTGTCAGTCCCCTTCCCCCTCCCACCCAGGTAGGGTGGGACTTTCTGGATTGAAAATTTTCTGGATTGAAAACTAAACTAGACAGCTTTAATTAAAAACTAATTATAAGTGCAACAATGTCCAAATATATACAAATGTGTTCAGGAATGTGCAAAACCCCCATCACCTCCCCCCACCCTCAGCAACTCCCAGGGCAGTTCCTGAGCTGTGAGCAGTTCTGAAATGTCCCAGAGCTGCTGGAGAGAGCGGCAGAGCAGGCAGGAGCTGAGGAGAGAGAGTGATGAGGGTCAGGAATGCACAGGCCTGGGGATCAGTGGTGATGGAGAGACGGAGTCCTCCCCGGACATGGACAGAAGAGAAGGGAAGAAGCAGGAAAGAAGTTGACTTCTGTCATCTCTGACCTTACACCAAGCTTACATAGATATGTGGAATGAAATACTTGGGTCAGTTTTGCTGTCTGTCTAGTCAGCTCCTCCCTATGGCGGAGCTGCAGATATGACTCTTCTGCTCCTGTAGCATCTGAGGCAGCAGAGCAAAGCATCCTTCGAGTTTCAGCAGTAACATAAACATTCCAGTGCTATCTGTCCACTAGCTGGAAAACTTGCTGCTAGTTAAAAGAGAGCTCACTGACCGAAAAAGAAAAATCAGTAATAGGAAAAATGGCTTCATCCCTGTTCAAACCAGGACAACTTAAATTCAGTTTTCAGTAACGAGGAAAATAAATTTCATTTATAACAAATACCATTCAGAATCTTCTCTAAATAATATGGGGCTCTAGAAACTAAGTTCCAGAAGAGCTTCAGTCTCTTTGTCAAAAAGGAAATGTTAAAAAATAATTTGCATTCAAAATAGAAAAATATTTTTAGTACCTACAGCTTGGTAAAAGCAGTGGTTTGCAGGAGCATAAAAACATTTACAGATCCTGGGTTTAGGCATTTTTCAAAACACTAATGTATACAGAAAATGCACTTGTAAAAAAGAACTCCATGGAAGATGAAAGGAGAGCTCTATGCAAAAAAAAAAAAAAAAAAGTAAAATCTGCTATGACCTAGGAATACACAGACCAAAATACTTTTTAGGAATCACTGATGTAAAAAAAACACTTTGCTGCCCCCAAAAAGATGTCAGAAGGCCAGCTTTTCTTTCCTTCTCCTCCCCCCCTCCCATTTTTTTTAATGAGCTACTGCCATAGTGCTGGGCTTCACAGTAGTTAAACCAGAAAGACAGGTTTGGTCTGTTACAAGGGAACTGCCCCAGGAAGCTGTGGCATTTGGTTTCAGCAGGTTTAGGAGGCTGGAAGCAATATTAGTGCTAAAACTGCCCTTATGGTTATCCATATTCTTGTGTTTTGGGAGAACAGTATTTTGTGTACCAGCAAAAGTGACTCTGAAATTTCCCATGACATAGATTTGCTTTAGTAAATCAAGCCTTTGACCACCCACTTCAGTGGAAGTATGGTCACATCTTCCATGGCTCATATTATTTCAAGAAAACTCAACTTCAATGAGGTTTGACATTAGCCATGTCCTGGCTGACCTCTATCTGATCCTGCCCTGGAAATCAGTCTGGACATGAATCTGTAAGGGAAATTTTGGTTACTCTTTTCTTCTATTTCCAGGGATATTCTACCATCACTCTGGGTAGACTACCAGAGTATGTAGCTACTTATTTCAAGTTTAAATACATGAGGAAAAACTAAGGGAGATTATTCCTTGTCCCTAGTAGGAATACAGAATATTCTATGTATTATCTTCAGGAACCTGCATTTGAGTCTCATGTAAAAAAAATATAATCAGAATTTAGATACAAATTCTCTTGTTGTGTGCATGCTGTACATGATAACAGTTGCAGAAATCATGTTGGAAAGGACAGACGGAGGTTCCTACTCCAAATTCTTGGTCTCAGCAAGGTCAGCTATGAGATCAGATGAGGTTAGTCAGGCATTATCCAGCACCTGGATATTGAAAACCTTCAGGAAGGAGATGGCACAAACTTAGTATTTGCATGCGTTAAAAGCTGCTTGGACTTAGTAATGCCAGGGCTTGATAAATCTCAATACTTGGAGCCTGTTCAAACTGCAGTCAGTGTTTTTATCTCTTTCCAAGGGAAGAGTCATGAGGACAACTAGCTAATAACTTTCTTCTTAAAGTAGATGTTATGTGTGAATTTCCCAATGCCATTTAGGCCTCTCAGAGATCAGTCGTTATACTTCCTTCCTTGCATCATCCTTTCTCTTCTCTTTTCAGACAAAGACTGCTGTCCAAGCTCTCATAAGCAAGCACCAAACAATCCCAGGCAGCATATGGAAGGCTTTACTGGAGCGATTTGATAAACGTTCTAAAAGTGATTAAAATGCTTATGTTTATTTCATTGTTTTTACAGCATACATTAAAAACCAATGTCCTATGGCAATGATGACTAATAATTGGCATTCAAGCAGTTAAATTAATTGGTGTTCAACAAGTTGCTACGGATTTGACAATGAAAACAATTAACCTCTTGAATTGAGCAATGCAAAAGCTAAATTTCCCTAAAGGAAATGACGTAGCCAGGATTTACCTGGCTCCTAAAACAAGTATGTCCGTACATCTGAGAGCCTCAGAAGTTTTATCTAAATGGTGATTTTATGTTTTGTGTGGTTCACAGTCCAGTTTCAGAGCAGAACCCTAGAGCCAGTGATTTCCCACCAGAGTCCACCCCTTAGTGGACACCTTCCCCATTGGACCCAACACAAGACAGTGTCAGAAGAAAAACTCTCACTTTAGCTAATGATCTGCTTAGATCAGGCCATTTTTCTGGAGAGACTACACAAAGAGAAACAATCCCATTAAACCAGATACTAGACTTCTACAAACACAACAGCTTAGTGGTTCGGTACCCTAGAAACTAGGAATGCTACACCAGAGACTTTTCCCCCACAGAAAGAAGCCTCTCAAAGAGAGAAAAAAAAGCTTTAGTTATGTGTAACACTATGAAAATACACATAGAAAGTATTTTCAGGTCTGAGCTGATACATATATGCACTATTGCACCATACAGTACTGGTTGAGTGGATGAGGCTGCCCCCAGCTTGAGAATCCCTGCATTCCAGCATGTCTGCAGTATGGATGTGCTTTACTCACCCAGGTCTCCTGATAAACAGGGAGTAGGCTTGGCGGAAGCTTAAGTAGGTAATGAAGGGTTGAAGCACATCCTAACTGGTAGTTTGCCTAAAAAATGCAGTACTGCAACAATGTTATCTCCATATGGATCGAACCTAAATGCTTGAAGGTGTTACTGGTGGGACCTGGAGAACTTTGTGTAATCTATCCAATCTGCCATTAAATGCAACCAAGTCTCTTAACATCAAACACCAAGAAAGGCAATTTTTGTGCTTCATTCTTCCTTCTTTTAATACCTGTATCATCTTTCCCTCAACATCTTAAGACTTTACGTAGCATCTAAGGAAATGCATAAAACTTTTTCCCATTTTCACTAGAAAACTAAATCTGTTATTTGGATTAAAATAAATCAAATTTCTTCCCATGCTGCTTCTCCACAAATATTTCTGGCACATCTGCAGAAGGGAGCAGAATAGACAGGTGGGTTATTTCCCTAGAGCAAAAAGAAAACAATCCTGTCCTGAAAAATAAAAATTCTCAAATTCATTCTAATACATAGGAATGTTAACTTGATTACTTGAACTATAATTGCTGTGCACAGGCCAAAAACTTTTTCTCCCAGCAGAGACTGAACATGCATAGGAGATGATAAACCAAAGCAAACCAAGATGCTGACTCATGTGCCTGGACACGAACAGGAATTCAAACAACGCAGTCTTACACACAGTGAACTCCAACAATATAAGCTACATTTTGGAAGTCTGAGCTTAAGCTGAGTTGGAAAAGGAACTAAAAGAAAGGGCTATCAAATCCTCAGATAGCCACAGATGAAGAAGCAAGAGGAATTAAAAGTAACTGGAATCTGAGAGCACTCGCTGTATTGCAGAAACTATGCAAAAGGAACGGAAGGCATCCTCCTCTGAATAACTCATCCTGTTTTTCAAGTACAGTAGCATAATCAATGAATACATTGTAGTCATCTGAATTTGCACAACCTTTCAAACACCGAGCCCTCTGGATACCTGATGCCACAGGCTGTGCAGCAGCTCTGCCCAGAGCACCAGCCTTGGATAACTAGTATGTGATCAGAGCACTGATTGTCTTTCAAAGCGGGGATTTGAGTCTGGATCTCCTCTATCTCAGACAGCCCTAAACAGTTTGCTAACAAAGCTCAAGCTTTTCCTGTACTATTTTATCATACAGCAGCTTCTCTGCCTTATCTGCAGCATTGCAGAAGTGAGCTGGAGTGAAAACTAATTTCTATTCATTGTCTTACACCACAGTTGTCCTAAAAGTATTTTCTGGGGTCTCAAGGTGGCAGACAAAACTATTACTGGGATGTGTGAGTGGGTTTGAATGACGTGTAAGACAGTGATTTTCCTAACACAAAAAAAATGAACATTTTTTCCCCAGAAATATTAGAATACTGCTCTCATTAAGAGGGAGTTGTTATTATTTTAGAGCCCCTCCCAACTCCAAATTTTTACTCTTTTTAAGAGCAGTATTATAACAAGCAGAACTAGAAACTGGTACTATAGAAACTAGCAGGAACAAGTATGTATTTTCATACAAGCAGAATGGTCAGTGCAGATCAAATCACTCCCCTACAACACACTTTCTGGCCTCTCTGTCGTACAACGAAAAATAAATTGAAAAACACCAAATGCAAACGACCTGTGCCCTCCTTGCAGGTAAGCAGCATTTATGTCCCTCTGGGGGACAGTGTGCCTAATGAACGATGTCAGGAGAGTGCAACAGGGGAAGGTCTGGAAGTGCTCACAGCCAGCTGTGGCTAAACTGATCCCACCTGAAGTTGACCGCAGAATCACAGAACCACTTGGTTGGAAAAGACCTTTAGGGTCAGCAAGTCCAACCTTTACCACGACACTGGCGCGCCCACCACTAAGCCACATTAAAGCACCACATCTCCGTGCCTTTTAAGTACCTCCAGGGACAGCGACTCCACGACCTCCCTGGGCAGCCCTTTCCGGCGTCTTATTACTCTTCCAGCGAAGACATCTCCCCTAACACCCAACCTAAGCGTCCCCTGGCACAGCTTGAGCCCGTTCCCTCCTGTCCTGTCCCTTGTTACCCGCGAGAAGAGAACCCCCAACCCCCCCACCTCCTCTCAGGCCGCCGCAG